GCAGCCAGGAAGGAGATGAATTCTGGCAGCAGGTGCTGGAGGCCGGGCTTTTATGTGTTTTGACAACCTCCTCATTCTGTCCTCTGGTTCTTAGGGTGGTTAAGGCTGCTCCAAGGCAAGACAGTCAGGTTCTGAAGGAAGAGGGATTCCACTGTTCTCTTTATTCTGCTTAAGCTAAAGCAATCAGGGCACCTGTAACTTTGTATATTTATCATCTGTAAAGTAAGTTAACAGTTGCGATGTATTGCAATAGTATCAGTTCATATTTCTAAGCAGATAATACAGGTTTGTGCAGCTTTTTGGTTAGTAAAATTATCACATTTTACCATTTTCACTGCTATCCCTCTTTTCTTAGACTTACGGTATTAAATTCAAATTATAACAAATCATTACTATATAGCAAAAATGTATTAATGTTTCCCTTAAAATCCATTTTATATTTTTAAATAATTCATATTTCTGATAACCATCTTTATCTGAAACCCTTTTGGCTCTCTGGATTTAACATGAAAGTAATACATAAAAACATCTTCAAAAATTTTTAAATAAAACTTTATCTGTATTATGGAAAGCTTTAGTCAATGTTTTTTTTTTCTAATTTTCCCTGGAATATCAACGTTATTTCCAAGATATGCTTTGAAGAAATATGCCTGCAATTTCTTGCTGGTGGGTGCAATTTCTTGTATGGTCTATGTTGTACAAGTGTTAACCTTTCTAAGCTGCAGTTCCTCATTTTGAAATTAAGTCTGACAAGACTTAATACAGAAGTGTTTCAAGAAATGAAAGAAACAATGCATTGAAAGTCCTTAGCACAGTGGCTGGCATGTAGTTAGTTCTTAATAAGTTGTGTCATTTTAATACTATTGTGCACAAAAGAGTTAGCAGAGCAGGCCTGAGACTGCTACCCTGAGAAAGTCCTGTTTACAAGGCCTTGTTGCAGATGTCTGGCATCTGGGAACTTGGACCCTGGGAGAGCCCCACCATTCCCCACACAGAGAAGGTGGTTCGCTGTGTCTAAACTGTGCAAACAATATAGTTTATGCTGAACACTGCTTTCCTCCTGGAGTCTGGAATTCGGGTATGCTAGGCAGAGGGTGTCTATGGGACCAACCCCCAACAAAAACCTTCGGCACTGAGTCTCTAATGTTTCCCTGAGAGACGACATTTCATAATTGTCAAAATTCGATGCTGGCGGAATTATGCACATCCTTTGAGATTCCACTGGGATAAGACTCTTGAAAGCTTGTTCCTGGCCCCGTGTGCCTTTCCTTTGCTGATGTTCCTTTCACTATAATAAATCCTGGCTGTGAGTATGACTAAATGCTGAGTCCTGCGAGTCCTCACGGTGAATCACCAAATGTGGAGGTGGCCTTGGGGATCCCTGACACAGTAGTCTCCCTACTCCTTAGACTTCATAAACTATGTGCCAGTTTGCACACTAGGGCAATCTTACAGACAACACAACCAACAGAATTAAGAGTACCAAAGTCCAATTATAAAAATTCCTAATTTCATGGCTAACAATGGTTGTAGATTTACATACTACTTCAATTTTTTATTCAACATATCAACGTAATAGAAATCTCACTATTGCTCATTTTCTCCCATTGTTTAATAGGCCTTTTTCCTGCTTAAACTCCAGCCCTGCTCTTCCCCAGATCCCATCTCAATACCACAGGGAGCCTCCACTGGAAGGTCCGGTGGTCCGTCCCATGTTATTTAGTTCCCTGAGTGGAGAACAACATCCGTTATGAAACCTCCAGCGTCCTTTGCTCTGTGTTATTCCGAGTAAGATCCAACAATATAAACTGCCAGGAATATCTTTTCTCAGTTTCTTAGAATATGCAGAAACACAAATGAATTAACGAGCATAAGAGAAAGGAGGACAAACTGAAGCATGGCCCAAAGCGGAAAGTGAAATACAAGTTTTGCAATATCGACTTTGAGGAAATGGCTTGACTGAATTTTTCATCATCTACAACAGGGTTTCTCGGCATACTTCAAAAAGCGCAGTAAGTTTTACTTAATAGGAAGAATTTCAACAAAAGCTTGTTGCTATCATGTTGAAGAAGCTGGGGTTCAGAGGATAAGAAGAGGATGGGTGTCTGCCTGACATCATTAACCAAGAGTTTTAATAAAGTTTTAGTGGCACTTGATCGCCATGAAGAAACCAGGAATCGTAGCTACGAGATTAGTCAATGGCCTCCTCTGTTTTTCTCTTGAAAACAAGAGAACTATGAACAGTTAAAAATAAATATCTCTAGGGCTATTTATTTTAATCCCAAATGACCCCCATGGCTTTTCTAACCCACTCCTAGTTTCACATTTTCAACAAAATATTATTTTTAAAATACCTGTTGATTCTCATGGATTATTCATGTCACAGCCCTTTTTGAATCACAGCTTCTAAGGCTGGAGAGACGGAAACCAGAAGATTCATCCCTGGCAAGAAGGAACTAAGCACATCAGCCCCAACGGGGAAGAAACACAGCAGTGAGGTGTCATTGGGTTTGCCCAGAAGCCACACGGAGTTGTGGGAGAGTTCAGCCCGGTGTTGCCAGCACTTTTGTTATTTTAAGAATCCTGGTTCTCATCAAAAAATTCTCAATTTTTTTTAATATTGGCAACTATTTATTTTTAAACTGTGAGTGGCAAAAAAAATCTGCGACATTTCAAGCTGTAGGTCACAAATGGGCCAGTGAGTGTCAGTCCAGGAGAGAAGAAACCAGGGGGGATCAAAACGCCCTGCAGATCAGCAGCAAAGGCAGGAGTCGAGCTAACAGGACTGGGTTCCCGGGGCCAGCCAGCAGCAGCCAGGAAGGAGATGAATTCTGGCAGCAGGTGCTGGAGGCCGGGCTTTTATGTGTTTTGACAACCTCCTCATTCTGTCCTCTGGTTCTTAGGGTGGTTAAGGCTGCTCCAAGGCAAGACAGTCAGGTTCTGAAGGAAGAGGGATTCCACTGTTCTCTTTATTCTGCTTAAGCTAAAGCAATCAGGGCACCTGTAACTTTGTATATTTATCATCTGTAAAGTAAGTTAACAGTTGCGATGTATTGCAATAGTATCAGTTCATATTTCTAAGCAGATAATACAGGTTTGTGCAGCTTTTTGGTTAGTAAAATTATCACATTTTACCATTTTCACTGCTATCCCTCTTTTCTTAGACTTACGGTATTAAATTCAAATTATAACAAATCATTACTATATAGCAAAAATGTATTAATGTTTCCCTTAAAATCCATTTTATATTTTTAAATAATTCATATTTCTGATAACCATCTTTATCTGAAACCCTTTTGGCTCTCTGGATTTAACAAATGAAATATAGCACCTATATCATATATCACAAAACACTCCCAGCAGGGACTGGGGCAGCCCCCCATAATTAAGTACATTAGTATTTCTTCACACACACACACACACACACACACACACACACACACACACAATATTTACACTGAATAGGATGACGACTAAAAATAGCCTCATCTCAGATCAGGTTTTACAACTAAAAGAATTTTTAAAGTTTTGGTTTTCAGCGTTTTGGGGATTTAGGGATAAAGGACGATGGTCCTAAGTTACATGGGTCACAATGACAGGCCACAGCAAAAATTAACAGAGTTGAGGACCGTCATGAGAAACAATGCCATGGCGTCTGAATGGGGAGAACCAAACCACAGAGAAATCAGTGGGAATAAAAACAAAAATAAGTAAATCAACTTCTGAGGAAGGCACTCCACAAAAAAAGCAATTTTAAAACCAAACATCAGGGTCACCAACAATCCACTGTTCCCAGTGGTTCAATAGCATGTGGTCAACCAGGGGCAACCCAGTCCCTGGAACCTAAGAATATTTCTAGCAGAGAGGACCATGGCCATTCTAGAATTTGCCATACCCAAGATGTCAGGAGCAAAACAGTGAGACACAGGTGACTGTACATTCAGGGGCCTCATCTAGTGGTAGAAGCTAAAGCCACCGAAAAGCCAGGAGCTGGCCAACCACACCCACCCTCCCTGTGCCGCATGCTCACCGGCCAGGTTTTCAGGGGGCTGTTTGCCCTGCTCCCATCAAAGGAACTTTGTAGTAGCTGCTTATCACAAAAAAATGTTGAAAAATTCTGCTTTAGGTCAACTTCAATAACGTGTGGGGTCCACCAAATCACTAACCAGTTTTAAGTAACTTCCACTTAATCATGAAGAAACATTCACATAAAGTGATGGGCAAAGACACAGTTTATATTCGTAAGAAAGACTCATACAAAATACAGTGGTTTATGGAAAAGAGACATGTACATAATATACCTAAGGAATTCCATAAGAACCTAAAATTGGGGAATTAGGGATAAAAAACTAAAATGGATGTAGGAATTTATTTTCTCTAAGAGATTAATGCAGCAGGTTAATTATAATAACCCTATTTCTACCATATGTTAAACTTCCTCTGTCAAGTCCAAATGATAAGAAATCATCGCCTTAACTTCATTAACCCAAACCTTATTCCGTAAGGCTGGGCCGGGGCAGTATTGTAAAATAGTATCAACAAAGAAAGCAGCAAAGAAAACTGTGATCGTCTCCTACCTCTGCTCGACCCTCATAGTAGGTTAACACGGACTTCGTAAGTACAAAAAGTCTCTCTTTGTAGTTTAAGGGTGACGTCTTCTTTTTCTGCTGTGACCTTTTAATTAGAATCTCTTCTAAAATAGTGTTAAAATTCATCGCGGTCTTCTAATTACTCCTTCTCCTGCCATTGAAGATCCTAGTATTCTAAAATGAGAAAATAAACCGTTAAAATGTGGCAATTTTCCAAGGATGTTGCCATTTCAAATTACCAAAATCGGGTTTACCCTCACCCCGGCGGGAGCCAATGAATGTTACTCTCTGTGCCTGGATTCAGAATGCCCACGGAGCAGAAAGTCAACCTCTCTCACTTCTATCTTATTTTAGAAATTACGTATCATGGTTTCTTTGTTATAGTGGCTTAACCTTTATTCTGCCTAATAGAAAAACCCTCGCAAAAACTGATAAAGCTGATCATGCTTTTGTAAAACTATGGCCCTCTTTAGAACTGTGCTGACAAATTCAAACGTAAAGGAAGTCAAATTTTTTATTGTACATTCTTGTCAGAAAAATGATGTCAAGAAAATACTTGATTCACTCTTTGTTCTAAAGCATTAGTCTTTACCATATAACTAGTTCTAAATATGAGATAAAATAAATATATTTTCACTTTACTTTTCGGGATAAAATCTGAACATACCAGGTTTTTCTTTTACTATCTACTGTGAAATTTAAGTGGATTCACTTTAAGTGGCAAATTCTGACACCAGCTCTCCTCTGGTGAGGGAATTTCTTGTATAAAACAAACATTTCTCTTTGTTTCTTGCTACTTCAGAGAGAAACAATAACAAGTGAAAATAAGACATGAATAACAAGTTTCTCAGCGGGTAAAGTGACTTTCAGTACCTTTTACTAGAAGAAAGCATGAAAGTAAAGAAAATTTAAAAATTATACATAAAATAATCAAATATCAATATTTGTTCCTTGGCTAGAGTTTTCTAAATTGTTTTTAAGGAGAAACATTCAACTATGTCTATATATTCTTTTCTTATTGTTTTTAAAATAGGAATAAAGAATTCGAATCATTATTGCATCCAATTTTTTTCACAAATGAGAAAGTTTCTTTGACAAAAAATTTCAAGAATAAAAACAAAGAAAGAGATTGAGGAACATTTGATAGATACTTAAAGTCTTAAGAGACATCTCAACCAGTTGAAATGTATTAGAAAACTATGGCAACTTAAATACCAACTCGATATTGATGATATTAAGGTGTGTTGATAAGATTTGTTTAATTACAATAAGATTTGATGATATTAAGATAGTGTTACGTTGTTTGGGGTTTGTTTGCTTTGTATGTGTGTGATAATGTTATTGTGATTGTATTTTTAAGAGTTCTTATCTTTTAGAGATATATACCAAAAAGTTTACAGATAAAATAATATCTGTGATTTGCTTCCTAATTTGGTGAAGGGTAGATATGGGGGAGCACAGACAAAATAAAACTGTTCATGAGTTGAGAACTGTTGAAGCTGAGTGATGGATACTAGGGGTTCCTTATACCATTCTGTTTCTACTTATGTTTGAAAGTTTTCTTAAATATGACACTGAAAGCACAAGCAAGAAAAATAGATAAATTGGACTTCTTCAACTTAAAAACTTGTGTGTGTCAAAGGACATTATCAAAGAAGTTAAAAGACAACCCACAGAATGAGAAAACATATTTGCAAATGATATACCCGATAAGGGTCTAGTATCCAGAATATACAAAGAAAACTTAACAACTAAACAATAAAAAGACAACCTAATTTTTAAATGGGCAAAGGCCATGACATGGAGAAATGAATAGACATTTCTCCAAAGAACATATACAAATGGCCAATAAACACATGAAAAGATGTTCAACATCATTAGTCATTAGGGAAACGCAAGCTAAAACCACAAGATACCACTTCACACACACTAGGAGGAATATAATCAAAAAGACAGAAACAGAACAAGTATCAGCCAAGAATGTGGAAAAATCAGAACGCTCATACATTGCTGGCAGAAAATATGGTGCAGCCACTGTGAAAAACAGTTTGGCAGTTCCTCAAAAATTAAATATAGAGTTTTCATATGACCCAGCATTTCCACTTCTAGGTCCATACCCCAGAAAATTTAAAACACATTTACACAAAATCTTATACATGAATGCTCATAACAGTACTACTCATAACAGCCAGAAAGTGGAAACAACCCAGAAGTCTATCAACTGATAAATGGATAAACAAAATGTGGCATGTCCATACAAAGGAATATTATTCCACCATAAAAAGGAATGAAATACTAATACATAGTATAACATGGCGGAACCCTGAAAACATTATGTTAAATAAAAGAAGCCAGACGTAGGAGACCAAAAGTTGTATTGACTCCATTTATATCAAATGTCTAGAATAGGCAAATCCATACAGGCAGAAAGTAGATTACTGGTTGGATGGCAAGAAGGGAGAATTGGGGATGAGGGGTTTCTTTTTGAGGCAATGGAAGTCCTCTGGATTTAGATAGCGATGGCTGCACAACATTATAAATATGCTGAAAACCACGGGTTTGTACTCCTTAAAATAATTTAAATGGTAAATGTTATGTTAATTGAATTTATTCTCAATAAAAGAAATTTAAGAAAAAATATATTTACAACACATAAACAATACACAGATGAGAATTAAAAGTAAAAGGAGAAGTCAGAAATCAAAAGGCAGGAGGAAAGCAGAGTGGAATCCAAGCTTAGGTGGGGGGTGGCTCTCACATCAGCACACACATGGCAAAAACACTGGCGTGTGCCAGTGCTCTATCCTGGACTTGTTCTGCTTCTTCATCTGTCATTCCAGAGGTGGCATCATCTAGTTCCATGGCTTGAAACTCCATCAATATGTGGATAACTCTGAAATCTACATCTTAGCCCTGAAGTCCTCCAGCACCTCAGATTTCTGTCTAACTGCAAACCTGACATCTTTACTTAAGCGTCTAACAGGTATATCAAACATAACATCACTAAAACAGAACTCTAGATAATCCTTTAATCTAGAGGATCGTCTGAGCTCAGAAGTTCAAGTCCAGTCTGGACAACACAGCAAGATCCTACCTCCAAAAAAAAAAAACAAATAAACAACAAAAAACTTGCTCTTTATACCCAGTCTTTGTCATCTGAGTAAATGTACTCACCATCTCCCCAGCTGCTCAGCCAAAAATCTAAAAGTCATCTTTGATTCATTGTCATACCTCAGATCTAATTCATCATCATGTTCTTTGGACGGTACCTCCAAAATATTTTTCTGAACCTATTCCAGTCTCTCCTTCCTCACTCCTCTTCGATTAGTGAATAGATCGATTGCACTGATGGCCCCGATTTGTCACACCTTCCTCTACCTTCTCACACCTCTCTGAAACTGTGCCCGTGGCAGTGCCCTCCCACACAGGCTGTGGCTACACCCACGTAACCCAGCCTGCTTTCACCAATGGGGCAGCAGCACGCTTGACACAGCTAAGACTTAGGAACATGTTTGACTGATTCTGCTTCCTCTCTTGCTTCTTTGTGATCACCGTGAGAATACACCCAGGCCAGCCTGAGAATAAGCCCAGCTAGAGGGTGTGACACACACACGGAGGAGAGCAGAGTCACCCCAGCCATCTCAGCTGAGGCCATCCTAGACCAGTTGACAGCCAACTGGCCCCCCAAACACATGAGAGAGCCCAGAAAGTCAGGCAGAGCTGCCTACCTGACCCGCAGCTGATCACAGACACATGGACAAGTCCAGTCACGATCAACCTAGCCGGGTCCAGATCAGCAGAACCATCCAGCCATCCCATCAACTCATGAGCAAAAATAAATCCTTGTTATTGTATGCTGCTGAGTTTATGGGGATGTTTGTTACGCAACATCACTGTAGCAATAACTGATACAGCCACCATTATCCCATGTTGGGACTACTGCAATCTCCTCCTAATGGGCCTCACTACTTCCTTTCTTATCTCTATAATGATTTCTCCATCCATCAGTAAACACAATCTTTTTTGTCTTTTTCTTTTTTTTTTTGAGATGGAGTTTTTCTCTGTTCCTCCCCCTCTCCCCTCCCACCACATAGAGTGCAGTGAAGACATCATAGCTCTCTGCGACCTCAAACTCCTGGGCTCAAGTGATGATCCTCCTGCCTCAGCCTCCTGCGTAGCTGGCACTACAGGCACATGTGATGACGCCTGGTTAATTTTTCTATTTTTAGTAGAGATGGGGTCTCACTCTCGGTCAGGCTGGTCTCAAACTCCTGAGCTCAAGCAATCTTCCTGCCTGGGCCTCCCAGAGCACTAGGATTACAGGCATGAGCCACCGCGCCCAGCCTGTAAACACAATCTTTTAAAAACATAAGTCAGTCCATATGGCAGTCCTGCTTAAATCCTCCAGTGACTACCCAGGGGACTTAGACTAAAACCCAAACTCCTTAACCTAGCATACAACCTACTTTTCCAACCACATCTAGTACCATTCTGCCCCTGGCGCACGGTGATTCAACCACAGCAGTCTCCCTCCTAGTCTTCAAACACAGCAAGCTCATGGCTGGGGTCTTTGCACATGATGATCCATCTACCTGGAAGAGTGTTCTACTTTCCCTCTTTCTTTCTCCCTCCCTCGTTCCCTCCTTCTCTCTCTCTCCTTCCCCCATGCCCTCTCTCTCTCGCCAGCTCTTTCTTGTAACTCAAATTCCAGCTTAGATCTCCCTTTCACAAAAAGGCCTTCCCTTAACTACCCAATCTGAAGTAGGCAGCCAGTTCATCTCCCTCTGTTATCCTACTTTAATTCTTTGCATGGTACCTATCATCATTACCTATCATTAAATTCTTCCTGATGATGGGTTTTTTTAATTGTATGCTCTCCCCACTTCTTGTGGAACTTCTAAGTTGCACAAGAAGAAGAACACAGTCTGTGTACGCACCGCTGGATCCTCAGCTCCTAAAGCAGTTCCTTCACATGGTAGGTCCTCATTCAATATTTGATGAACGCTACCTGACTTACAGAATAAATGACTAAATCAGATCCTTTCTGAGATCAGGCTTTCACAAACAGGAAGGCTCTAGGTAAGCTGAAATGGAAGGGAAAAAAGACAAACTGATTCTGAGAGAGAAGTTGTGAAGCAGAAAAAACATTTCACCTGACGCAGAACACAGTTAAG